ATTTTGCCGAGGGACACCTTCCGTCGCGCCACTGGCCCGCTGGAACGATGCACCGTACAAAAGGTAGGGCATGCACAATATCTGAATTATATTACTATTACTCMTCATGCCTTCCCMTACAGCTCTCGTATCAACCCAACTGTACTGAGCGCACACCGGCCATTCGTCCCATGGAGAATGGTCTGCGCTTTGATGGACCTCTGTACGCGATGACAACCCAGAAGCATGACTTTGTGCCCAAGCCGCATGTACGTCGTGCACCCATAGTGCCACTGACGGCCTTCTGTCGCCCTAGCGGTGCCATGGAGCGTTGCACAGTCAACAAGCTATCGTATATGCCAGTGGACGTCACCTGTTATCCCCGGCCCCAGGCTGTTAAGCCGCGCCAGGGCTTCTGTCGCAATGATGGTCCCGTGGAGAATTGCACCACATACAAGCTAAGCTACTTGCCCAACTGTGTGCAGCCCAAGGAGCCGATGCCCTGGGCCCGATATACATCCTATTGCCGGCCCAGTGGCCCCATCGAGAAGTGCACAATACAGAAGCTTAGCTATGGTCCACCCGGTGCCTTTCAGCGTTGTGGTGGTAAGTGGGATTACCATGGCATTGATAGATATACGTAGATCACTATCTAAATATCTTTTACCGTTCTCCAGGTCCCTGTGGTACCAGCTGCGCTGACACTGGCTGCTATCCGAAGGCCGGCATTTGTTGAATCGGAAATACGTTTTGCTTGCTCGTGTCGATCTGTCCCGTCGCCCGTCCCCCATCCCCCGTCCCGATTGTTTCCTGTTACATGTTGTTTCAAAATCTTCAAGTCCAACTGTTTGAGAAGCGTTTATTAGCTCGCGATGACCAAATGAGGACGCTCTTTTTTTTCAAAGCAATTTTAGCACGTATATACAATAACGAACCACTGTGGCAAGTTGCCAAACAGTCACCACACTCACCCACCGCGTTTCTTGCTGCAGCATACAAATCTCCAGGCTAAAATTGCAAGTGCTCCTCGGTGATTCAATAAACTGTACATTTATTGATTTGGTCTTGATAAAAAA